CTGCAAGATGTAACCATGACTTTAAAATTATGATTCTACAAAACTAAAAAGGGATTGCCATAAAACGTACCATTCAATTGGTAGAATATCGAAGACTTTCAACAATCTGAGCATACTATATAATTAAACACATATTATTAGCATAACGAATTCTAGAACAAATGTTATATAACAATTATAACTTGAGTATTTATACGAAATTGATCAAGAAAACGCAAAAAAAAACATGAAACAAATAATATGCGGAGTGACATTCTTTTCCCTTTCATCAACTGATATTTATAGGGAAATGCAGGCAAGTAATCTTTTAGTTTTTTTCAAAATGAATATCTTTGTAGTTAAGATATTGTGCATATATTAGATTCAACGTAGGCAATATCTTTTCATTATTTACATTGGCTTTCTATGCAGGTTTTTTGTGTAAATGGCTGATTTTCTAGATTATCGGAGAAAATTACTATAAGATTTTGTGATTTTAGAAAACAACAATAACTATAAGATTTCATTAAGATTTCATAATTGACAATTTTGGAAATATTATGAAAGATTGCATTAACTACTTTCCAAATCTTTTTAAAATATTAAATAATTAAATAACTTCTGAAATTTAATGTTGTCAAAGATTGTCATTAACTACTTAACAAATCTTCGGTTTTGTTACTTTTTTTTGGGCTAACTATATATATAAAACATTTAAATGTTGTATTGATTATTTTTTGTTGAAATTACTTAATATGCCATTAATGAAAAACGGGTCTCACCAACGGGTCAAAGGATCCGCGCGGCCGTGATCGGATCCTGTTTAAAAATCAACCGAAATTGAGCTGAATATTATTAAAATTACCATTGCATCTACCCAAGAGGAGACATTAATGGCAATACCTGAGATCAACGACGATCTTGATTTAAAAAAAAAACGATGATCTTGATTCGTCTACGTCAAGTAACTATTCCGTACGAAGTAGAAGTCGACTTCCAAGACCACGTAAAAGCAAGTCCAAAGGCAGTCTTTGGTCGTTTTTGAATTGTGCCCCATCCAAAGTTCAGTGGGGTGATCTCCCATAGTGAGGGAAATTCTTATATTGTATATCAAAACACTTTTAGTTATGATTATGTAAAATGCAAGACTTCCGGTCATGATTATGTAAAGTGCAACATTCCTAAAGAAGAGTTGTTTGTCAATGCAAAAATCAATTCAATATTGTGACAGAAAATCTTTTCTAAGCAGCTTCAAAATTCAAATTTGAAGACTTATAACTTTGAAAGGAGAAATATTTGAGGGCATAGCTTGGTTTAAAAGAAACTGTACGAAGTCGCGCAGAAAGATATCTCAATGCCAGAACTCGAAGAGCTTGAGAGACATGAGCACAAAACCAAAAGCAGACTTTATGACTTATCCTACATCATCCATGGCGAAATACCCCGGATACAAAATGAAATGCTTAAAGAGCAGAACAAAGTTCAGTGAACCATACAGAACAA